GCAGACAGACAGATTGCATCCTCCTCCCTTTGGGATCCCATGTGAGCCACTTGAGTGGGGAACCTGAAATCCTCCTCCAGGCTTCTGAGGGGACTCACGAAATATCAAAGGCATGCCTTCCTGTTCGGACCTGGAGAGGTCCTTTCTCTGTCTGCTAGGGCCATGACTGGTAACCAAAGATGTCAGCATGGTTAGCCTTCCCAGCTGACACATCAGATGCAATGGCAAACAGAAACACCAAAACAATACCCAGGATTTGGAAGCAGACTTATGTCAACAGGTACTGACTGGGATCATTCTCAAAATGTCAGGCCCTGATCTCTGGTGGTCTAGGGCTCATAGGAGATAAGCAAGCAGGAAGTACAGAGGCAGAATTGCTTGTCAATTGGGAATTGGTTCCTACAATGTGCATCACAGTGACCAGCTGTGCATCATAGTGACCAGCTGTTTCTAAGAGACAGGAGCAAGCAGAACTGTAGCCAGAACTGTTACCTGGGCAACTAACAAACTGAGGTATACTGGCTGGGGTGGGGGCATTTTCTGCTACACTAGGCCTCTGCTGTTAACGCATGCCCAGATCTTTGGCGACTGCCTCCCACGTTAATTTCACAAGTATTACCGGCATACATTCCTTCTGTGAAAGATTCAATCAATACATTTTTTTAATCCAACTGGACCACATTCACCATATTATCATTCCTATTATCCAGGACTGGGCCAGGGATACAGCTCAGTGGCATAGGGCCCGCCTGGAAAGCACAAGGTCCTGAGTTCCATTCCCAGTACCAACAAAACAAAACAAAACAAAAACAACAAATATTATCCAGGACTACTACTGTTTAAACCTAACTACAAAGTTTATTTTCCAGTTTACTTTCTGTGTTTTTATTTATTTATGTGCATATAAATAAGGATGGGGCTGGGGATTTAGCTCAGCAGCACGGCATCCACCTGGCAAGCGCAAGGTCGTGATTTTGATTCCCGATACCAGAAAAAAACCAAATGAATAAATAAATAAATAAGGAAAGCAGGGGAATAGATATATAGAAACATGTGGTCTTATGCTTTCAATCAAATGATAAAAAATATTTTTATGCTGAATTTTTTCACGTAATATTTTGTCTTGGTGATTAGGACAAACAAGGAAAACTGACCTCACCATTGGAAAATGGCTCTTTGGCACTCAGTAATACGGATGAATTGTAGTTTATCTGAGATTATTTCTGCTTTTATAATGTTATAATGACAATTCTTATATGTATTTTTTGGACACGTATATTTCTCTAGGTGAGACATTAAAGAAGGAGTTTTTTGTCCTGGAGAATATGCTCATATGAAAATAAATACGTAAGTAGTGTTAACTGATACTGCTAAGTTGCCTCCTAAGAAAACTAAATCAACTTCTGTTTCCTCACCATAAAACAAATACTTGATAGTATTAACCTTTTCCATTTTTACCCATCTAGTAGACAAGACTGGTACATCACTTGCCTGATGATATGTACTCATTTTGTTCTATTAGGTTATTTATTTCATTGATTTGTTGATGTTCTTTACATGTCTTTTTGTACTGAATTCATTGAAGTTTTGTTTCTTAGTGTGCTGTGTGTGTATGTTAAATAAAATAGACTTCAGAATAACTTTAGAAAAGTTGCAAAAATAGTAGTTTCTGAACACTCTTCTGCCAGTTAGACTTCCTGTAATGTTAACATCTTGCATAACTATTGGATATTGCTTTAAAACTAAAACATTCACATTGGGAGGTGGTAGAGCTTTTAGGAGTCGGGCCTAGCAGAAGGAAGTTAAGTCAGTGGGGGCTACTGGGACCCGCATCTCTCTGTCTCTCTGTCTCAGTCTCTGCCTCTGTCTCTCTCCTTCCTGGCTTTCATGAAGCAAACAGCTTCCCTCTAGCACTTATTCCTGGATGATAGGTTGTGCTGCCACAGGCTCAAAGACAATGGGGCACTAGTGACCACGGACTGAAATCTCTGCAACTGTGGGCCAAAATAAACATCGCCTCCCTCAAACTGTTTATCTCAGGTCTTTTGTCCCAGTGACAGGAAGCTGACTAATACTGACATATTCCTTAAAAGAAGCCAAACGCTTCCCTAAATTATATATTGTTACAATGTGTGTTATAAAATCTTTGTAATAGGCTTATGAAACAAATAAACATAAAATATAGAAACATATAATTTCATAAAGTACTATGTTTGAAAAGAGGTAAGTATATTTTTATTTTTAAAATAATTTTTAAAAGGGCATACAAGTATATATACACATTTACCTCACTTATAAAAAGAAACATTAAAGGAAAACTAAGAATGAATAAAAATAGTTACTTCTATAGAAAAAAGAAAGTACTGTAAATTCTTTCTATATATACCTAGAAAATTATTTTGATTTTATAAACCAAAAAATACTTAATGCAATTGAAAATACAATGAAATCAGGAAAAAAATGCAATTTGTAAATGGTGAAAGTGAACTGAAACAAAAAAGCTTAATATACAAAAAGTCTGTGATCTCATCATACCAAAAAAAAAAATTTTCCAATGACTCTAGTTTATTCTAAGGAAAACAGCACTTCAAAGGTTTAAATTTCATTCAGTAGTCAGTAATTTTAATGTTATTACTTTGAAACCATCATACACTTTTGCACATTAAATAATACTTAAATATTGTTTAACATATTATCTAACATAAAATGTATTAATTAGTATATTAATGTGTTTAACATATTAGCATTATTAACATATATCAGTCTGCATTATGTATATAATAATTTTGAAATTACATATAAACATAGGACAATTTCAAAGTATTGCTTTCATTATGTATGTCTGTGTACATTGTTATATATGCTAATATTATTATATATGTTATAATATTGATACATATTAGTGTATATTAATAATGTTAAAGTCCAGTATTTTCTATTTAAGAGAAATAAGTACTGGGCATTTTGGTGCATGCCTGTAATCCCAGCACTCAAGAGGCTGAGGCAGGAGGATTACCATGAGTGCAAGGCCAGCCTAGGCTACACAGTAAGTTCAAGGCCAGTATGAACTACAACGTGTCTTTATAAAAGGAGGGGAGGGGGAGAGAAATAAGTACAAATAAAAAATGGCAATTCTACATTGAAAAAATCAGCTGTGGACATTGAAAAGTGCTAGAAATAATAACAACTAAAATATTAATGAGCACTCCTAATGTCCATATTATAATCTCTAGGTAGGAGGGCTGGAGATATAGCTCAGCAGCACAGTACCTGCCTGGCAAGCATGGGGTCATGAGTTTGATTCCTGGTACAAAAAAAAAAAAAAAACCTCTAACTAGGAACAGTTAATTTGGCTAATTATAAGTCTGGAACAAGGAATATGTAAGATAATATTGTAATGTTTTGTTCCAGAAGGCAAGAAAGTTTTCAAAGGATAATGAGTCAAAAGATACAGAAGCCAACACACAGCTCCCATTGGCTAAAGATGACAAAATATGACCCTCAGAAAGCAAGTAAGAAAAGCCTTGGGGATGGTAGAGGGAGCAAGGGAGGAAGGCAAAGAAAGGAAGGCAGGAAAAGGAAAGAAAAAAGAATGCAACTGATTGAAACGCGACAAATACTGTGTCTAAGACCTATGCATTCATTATAACAAAGAAAGCGAGGAAGTGAGCGAGCCCTCCAAAGAAACAACAACTTATTGAATAACCCTGGATATAACTGAAACACACACTCTTACTTTGTAAGCTGTCAATTAAAAGGAAAGACATGTTGTGTATAACCTTTATTTCAGATAACAAGTAACTGTGATGAGGGAGAGTTCTTCATGGAAGAACCCCACCTAACAAACTGGAAGTAATGATAGAAAAATCACCATGCTGTACACTTAACAGATACAGGTTACGGTCATTAAAACGTCAAAGGATCGATCTGAGAATCACTAAAAGTAAGATGAGCAAGTGTTTATATGTCCCATAGGAGGCATTTAGAAACACACAGTACTGTCTATGAAAAGTTACTACCAAAAAAATGGAACTTGAATGAAATCCTGCAATAGTAATAAGCTGCACACACAAAAATGCAGGGGTGAGTGGTGCAAGTTACTTGACTCCTCAGGAAACAAACAAATGTGGGGCACCTGTTCAGAAAATAGACCCAGGGGGCTGGAGATTTAGCTCAGTGGCAAAAGCACCTGCCTGGCAAGCGCAAGGTCATGAGCTCGGTTCCCGGTACTGGAGAAAAACCAAAAAAAAAAAAAAAAAAAAAAAGAAAATAGACCCAGTTCTCCAAACAAGTCAATGAGGAAAGGAAAGAAAGGAGAAGAGAGGAGAGGAGGGGATGGAGGAGAGCAGGAGAGGAGAGAGCAAAGCACAGCAAGTTGGGACTGCTGTAGACTTCATACTGATTTCTTTTCAACTCTACCTACTGTGAAACGTTTTACAGTCATTTTGAAGTCATTTAGACAAATGACATCAAGCTCTGATAACAGCATCACAGCAACCTAAGGAATGGACCATTTTTTAGGAGATGCCTATTTTTAACATGTAGAGTTGAAATGGCATGTTGGGAGGGATGTGTTATGTGGTTAAAATACTTCAGTGAAAAGGAAATTTTAGAATAAATAAGACTACCGGGTGTGGTGGTGCACACCTGTAATCCCAGCACTCGGGAGGCTGAGGCAGGAGGGTCACTGTGAATTAGAGGCCAGCCTCAGCTACACAGTGGGTTCAAGGGCAGCCTGAACTGCACAGTGAGACCCTGTCTCAAAAAATAGAATAAAGTAAAATAAATACAGCAAGAAATTGAAAATTGGTGCATCCAGCTGATGGGCATATTGTATTCTAACGTACACTGGATCATTTGGTGTACATCTGACATGTTTTTCAGCAACAACATAAAGACGGAAATATGTCTGCCAGCTAAGGTAGGCAGATGGTAAATAACTGTTACAGATTCTTTCCATGCCTGTGTGATCTGTCACTGCTCTTCCCATCCAGGAAGGCCGTCTTGTCTTCTATCGCTTGAATCTGCTTCAGTGAAAGGACAAAAATAACACAGCAGAGGCTTGGAAAGTTCTTGGGCAGTGTACCTGCCTGCCTCTGTCCTGCTGAGAACCCTGATCCTACCTGCTGGAAAGGTCACACAGAAAAGAAAGGAGATACCCTGGCTGACAGTCTGCCAACCTCACAACACGAGTGAGGGAATTATACACCATCCTGCCTCAGGCAAGCCACACACTGTCTGCACCTTTATGAGCAAGCCCAGGTAACCACTCAGCTGATCTGAACCCATGTGCCAATCTATAGAATCACAACTGCTTTTTAGTATGCTAAGCATTATGGTAGTTTGTTACACAGCAACAACTAACTGATACATAAGGCTAAACCTATAGGAGCACTATATACACATGTATATGCATGTTCAAAGGACTAGCTTCTTAACACTGTGGGGTATGTGGGATGTATTCAATAAGAGAGCCCGAATGGTAATTTCATTCAGAAAATGGTATGTATAGAAACTGCTATAAAAGCAATGGAAGGCTTATGTGCGTTACTTCCTTTTGTAATTAAAAACTGCTATCAAACCAAGTTCCCCAGCTACTCCTTTGTAGAGGCAAATATACAGATAGATCATGAAGAACTTCTAATTATTTTTCTTTTGGAGGATTAAAAGCTTGGCTCTATCTCTGCCCAACTATGAAGAGACACTATAGACAAGGTCTTTGAGAGTGCTGGCACCTGGCTCTGTCTTTCATTCTTGACATAATTCAGTATTCTGAGGAGCTGGTGTATGCAGAGACCACACATTTCTCTGAGAGGCTGGCTAACCTTTCGTACCTTAGCGAGACATACATGAACTTGGTTTCCAGCAGTACGCATTTCATTCTAAGTACCCTGGGAACAAATCACATTTCCTCTTTATTATAGGTTTTCACTTGTAAATGCTGATTCCGGATATAGAGATTAATTAAAGAGTGATAAAAATTGTACAGAAGTCACTTAGGTACATATGAATGTTTTGATCAAGATATTTTTCACTAAAAGAAAATATGAAGGGATTTTTACTTTAAAAAGATCAAGCTAATTGCAACTGGCCAATTCAACTGAATCACATTCACTTAAAATAATCCTCTTAAAGATTGTAGCTCATCTCAGTATCATTAGCAAAATACTCTGTAAAAGAAAAAATTCAAGATGATTAAATATTTTCCTATAATAGTACCTATTTATTTGGAAAATACTTCTAAGTTAATTTGATACTTTAATTTTGATGAATATTGCTATTTTAAGTACATTACAATTATTATTTGCACAAATGCCACCCACATTTACATGCTAATTATCCAACCTCTTCATTTACAGTAGACTCATAACTTTTACAAGTACATTTTTATAAGCACAAGAATATTATGAGTAAATGGCAACATCATATACTATTTCCCACTAGTAAACTATTATGGAGTAAAGGTTGCAAATGCCTCTTTAGGCTAAGGGTTTGGAAGTTGTATCATTCAACAGGTTTAATGACAGAAAATGATTATTACATATGGTATTTGGGAAGAATGGGCTTTCAAAGCTAAGAATACCTGGCAACATCTTCCTCATTCATGACAGTAAGCTTCAGAAAGACAAATGAAAACCTGTGGCTGAGATTAAGGCTGGAATGGCAGAACCAGGCCACCACTGGGCTTCCCTCTGGGGGGAACTTTTATTCCTGCTCCTGACAGTCCTGCAGTCTCTTTCCAAAGGGGCAGCACACAGAGCTGAGGAAAACCCATTACACTCATTATCAACCTACATAACACCAAAATGATACTCTTTTTGATGAACAAAGGCCTGCACACATATGGTGACAGATTCAGGAAGAATGTGACAGAGATAACGTGCGAAATGGATGCTGGGAATAAAGTTTCCTCATCCGTACCACGGTGAGTGGGTAGGTCTTGATGGTGTAAGTAGGAGTGAGATGAGTATGAATCCCAGTACCCTTTACAGCTGTAAAGTTCAGTGATCTCAGTGCTTAATAGCTGAAGGCCTTTTTCATCCTTGGCACTACGAGGCCAGTGTGGGATGAGGTTATTGTAGATCTTACAAGTTTTGAAAAGATACGTATTGTAAAACCACATTCTTTGTCACCATGAAAAGCTCTAATTTTAAATGTGATTAGTATTTTCATGAAGGAGTACATATTATAGAAAATGAAAAGCTTTATAAAAGCTGGGCAAATCAAAAAATATAAAAGTCCAGCTGAGTTTAAGCACATGTGCAAGAGAGTGTGTTTTGAAAGGGTGTGGTTTCCTGTCTTTGGATTGTTTGGAAACATTCTGATAAAGCCAAATTCATTTCTCTGATATCCTGAAGGCAGCAAGGAACTAGTTCCAAAAATAGCATAAAAGGTGATATTCCTATATGTAGAACCAGCTTAAGTCAACTCAGAAATGTGATAAACACTTAAAAGCTTTCAAATCGATTCTCCAATTCTTTAATCTCCACAGTTAGGCGGATTGGAAAATTTAGCAACCCTTCAAATACTTTTCATTCACTCATTTATTTTTTTCATCTACTTCACAAATATTTATGTACTTATTATTATATTCAGGGAAGCTGGGAGAAGAATTTCTCTTAAAATTTGTCCAGGGTATTTTTTTCTTTTTTAGTTTCAAATCCTTCTCTCTCACTCCTGTCTTTGTTACCCACAGTGCTGCAGTCAGGTTGTTCAGGAATACCTGTCAACTGCGGCAGTAGAGCAGGAAGCTCTCTAAGTGAAGAACACATCACCTCACCCTGTGATGCAGGAGGAGCAGGTCAGTGTGTGAGCTGCCTGGCTCCCTCCTCGCTGACCCCACCTCAAGGAAATGCCAGGTGGGTCGGAAGTGCATCAGGAAGCCAGCTGCTGCTGGATTAATTTGCCACTATTGTTAAGTTATTCATGGGATGACCAACTTGCAGAGTCAACTCAGGACACTGCAACAACAGGGGAAAAGACATCAGAATAAAACACTGCTACAGCTCAAGATTCATGTGTTGAAAATTTAATCACCAAGGTGACAGTACTAAGAAAGGGGGCCCCCCTCTAGGCGGTGATTAAATGTATAAGGATGGAGCCCGCATGACTAGAGTTGTCTTTTCTGCCACATCAGGACACAGCACCGGCACCCCCCCCCAGGAGGCAGCACTGAGGTGCCATCTTGGAAGCAGAAAGCAGCCCTCGTCAGATGCCGGACCTGAGTGTATCTTGGTCTTCAGGTTCCCAGACTCCAGAACTATGAAGTGTGAGTTTCCATTTTTATACACCAGTTACTCAGTCTGTGGCAATTTGTTATAGCACCACAAACAGGCTAAGACAACTACATAATAATCAATTACAACACGTTACTTCTTCAGCATAAAAAAGGAGGATATGTGAAACTCTGTACCATGCTGCATTATTTCCCCTTCTGTTCTATAAATGTAATTATTTGAATTAAACAATAAAATTAGTTAACAGTGGCAATCAGTAGTAATTAACAGTAGGACTAATTAAATAATGTGAGAAAATATAAAAATATTTTAATACTTGTTACTGTTTCCTGTTGTGGCAATTTATTTTAAATCTTTTACAATTACTGGCTATTTAAATTTTGTAGGCTTTATGTCGTATCTCCTCAAGATATATAAATGCAAAGACTTTTCAAAAGAGAGAAATACAGTATGACTAAACAGTACCTACTCTTAATAACAACATCAACAAATGATAGCCCATTTCTTACTGTTTCCTGATAACATGGGATATTTTATTCTTTCTGTGTCCTTTTCCAATAATCTCTAGATGGCCTGCAGTCATTAAGACATTCGCCTTTCTATGGTGCTAACACAGAATACTCATACTTAAAATTCATGCTGATGCCGCTCTGCTCTCCTGAAGCCTACAGTACACTGACGTGGGGTGTCTGTCTGATGTGACCACATCAAGCTTAATATCTTCTCAAAAACTCAGTTGAACGTGGAATACCTATCATTTTACTTCCTAGCAGGAGCGAGTTTGTAGGCCTCTGGGAATTTATTTTCAGATCTCCAAAAATGCCTCTCCATTTTGAATTGGGTTGTCTGCATCTCTAAATTCATCACACATGCTACTCATGTCTAAAATATCCACTGTTTTCTAAAACTTTTCATTTTGAAATTTTATAGAAATAGCTGAAAGAAATGTACCAGGAAATCTTCTGTCCCTTGCACGCAGCTTCCCCCAGTGTTAACATCTTACAGGAGTCTAGAACAATACCAAAACTAAGAAAATGGCATTGGTAAGTCCAAACACAGTACTCAGATTCAAAATTTTATCAGTACAGTGTGGTCCTGTATAACCACAACCGCTGCCACCAAGCTACTCAGCTGTACCATCACCAGAACCCTCCCTGGCTACCCCACTTAGCCACACCCATCTCCTCTCCCGAAGCCCTAATCTCTAGTAACTACTCATCTGTTTTCCATCTCTATGATTATACTTCCTAACACATGTTACATAAGTGAAATCATCTAGTGTGTCACCTTTTGGAATTGGATTTTTTCAAACCCGGTATTATTTAATGAGGGCTGATCCAAGTTGTTGCATGTATCCGATCTGTTCTTTTGTTTTTATCACAGCAGTGTTCCACGGTATAGATACATCAGTTTGTTTAACCATTCATCCCTCTAAAAGACGTCTGAGTGGTTTCCAAATTTTTGCTCTTATGAACATGCTCGTATACATCCCCACAGGAAATAACTTATCACTTATGTGGAATAAACGCCTCAGAATTCAGTTGCTGAGCTGCATGGCAAATCCACCTTTAGCTCTGAAAGGAAGCAGCACTGCACTCAGGAGTGGCTGCCCCCCTTACATTCCCATCAGCGATGCAGGAGCAACCCAGTTTCTCTGCGTTCTTGCCGACACACAGCATTATCACTACGGAGTCTTCATTTTCACCGTTCTGTTAGGGTATAATAATATCTCCTGGATTTGACGTGTGTTTCCTTAGTGGCCAATGGTGTTGACGGCTTTTCTTGTGCTAACCTGTCCCATGTATATCCGCTTCAGTGAGATGTCCATACCTTTTGTTCTTTTTTAATAGGATTGTTTATTTTTATTATTGTTTTAAAAGTTATATATTCTACGTAAAAACTTTGTTAGAGAGAAGTTTGCAAATACTAGCCAGGTGTGGTGGACCATGCCTGTAATCCCAGCATTCAGGAGGCTGAGTCAGGAGGATCGTTCCAAGTTCGAGACCAGTCTGGGCTGCAGAGTGAGCTTGAGGCCAGCCTGAACTGCAGAGCAAGGCTGTCTCCAAAAAAAAAAAAAAAAGTTCACAAATACTAAGGTTTGATTTTTCACCTTCTCAGAAACCTCTTTGCCACAGAAAAAGGTACTTTTCCCTCAGGAAAAGTTTCAATTTATTAATTTTCCTTCTTATGGATCTTACTTTTGGTGTTAATCCAAGCATTCTTCACCCAATCTGAAGTCTTGATGATTCTCTTATGTTCTTCTCTACAGGTCTTATCTGGCTTTTTATATTTAAATTTGGCTATCATTTTTTTTGTGGGGGGGTTGGGTACCGGGAATGGAACTTAGGACCTTGCACTTGCCAGGCAGGCTCTATGCCGCTGAGTAATATCCATGGCTTCTGTCCATCCTTTTTAAACATTCTGGATGGGTGTTAAGTTAAAGCTCTCTTTCTCAGGGAAAATTGTTTTAAGTAAAAGCACACTTTGACCTCATAAAAACCGAAGTTATAGTTCAGTTGAGAAATTCCAATTTCACTTGGTTGCCTATTTTTGGTAACTTTAAAAAATATATTTTTGGAGTTGCTGTAGTGGCAGATACCTGTAACCCCAGCACTCTGGGAAGCTGAGGCAAAAAGACTGCAAGGTCAAATCCAGCCCGGGCAATTTCGCAACTTAGAGCGACCCTACTTCAAAACAAAAAGGGCCATGGATGTAGTTCAGTGTGCAGGCTTAATCCCCAGTACCACAAAAAAAAAATGGAGCAGTCTTCTTTCAAAACTGAAAATGTTTTACGTCCATGTGAGTTTTTGTCAGAACCTACACCTAGAGTCAAGCAGCTGAAACCCGCTCACGTCATCCTTCTCTAGGTTCCCTACGGCTTCACCAGAGACCATGGAGCCCTTCTGAAGAACCGGCACATAGATCTGTTTCACTGCACTTTCCTTCTTCATTCTCATCCTCGGTGTATCTTCAAACTAGGGAAGAGCATTCTTCCCTAGTTTCACTGCACTTTCCTTCTTCATTCTCATCCTCGGTGTATCTTCAAACTAGGGAAGAGCATTCTTCCCTAGTTTCACTGCACTTTCCTTCTTCATTCTCATCCTCGGTGTATCTTCAAACTAGGGAATAGCATTCTTCTGTCTCCAACTTACAAAACACGATTTGAGGACTGGCCAACATTTTAACATCGTGGCGTTAAAAATGGAGTCTTCCGTGTCTATAAATTGAAACTTTTCACTCAGTACTTCTGCATACTTTGATGAAATTAAAAGTGACCCAAAGCTTGCATGCTGACAGTGTCATTATTACCTATAAACGAATCATACTTTTACAAAATGTGCTGTGTTTGAAGTGAGCAAGGCGTTTATCAGATAGGATCATCTTAGTTTCTTTGGTTAGAAGCTCACAGGCTGAATAGAATTTCCACAATTTACACTTGCACCATCTGCTGAGTATGGAGATGGACGCGCAAAGTGTATTTGGATTTGGGCAAAATATCAACAATCTTTTTTACTTTATGGTTTTTGAGATTTCATCAGAATCTTCTCAAGTAACCAAGCAAATCATTTGAAATTTCAATTTCCAAAGCAAAACCCCTCACTGCTGGGGAGAACATTTCTGTCGCTGTTGTCTGAAGTATCACTTGACACATCAGAAAGCAGTACCAAAAGCCGGTGTGATAGTACACACCTGTAATCCCAGCACTCCGGGAGGCTGAGGCAGGAGGACTGCAAATTCAAGCCCAGCTGGGGCAACTTAGTGACTTAGAGAGACTCTGTTTCAAAATAAAAAATAAAAAAAGGGTTGGGGATGTAGCTCAGCGTGAAAGCTCTAACTTCAATCCCCAGTAACCAGTACCAAAAAATAAAATTAAAATTACAAAGCAATGCCATTGGTGAGACCTGACAGAATCATCTCAGTGCCATGAGGGATGGAGGCATTTATTATCAGGATTTCCCCTTCTGTTTTCCCACAGGGCACTTTTTTCAACCTCTGCAGCAGAGCTCAGCTTCAAAGACCAGCAGGGGACTGAAATGGCAGTGTGAGTCCCCTGTGTCGTACGGCCAAGAGCATTTAGCAGCTGCTGCTTCCAAGTGAATACTGGTGTTCTTTGGGGAGATGCAAACACTTTTGTTTTGGAAGTTCTTGCTTATCTTAGCCCAGATTAGTGAGAGTCAAGTCTCCATAAGCGCACTGCCTCCCCCTCATGCCCCATCCCTATTTCTTTTCTGTGCACTTTGTAGCATCCTCTGATCATTCATCTCCCCAGCTCAGTAGCACTGTATGTGGCCTTCCCTCTCTCACTAGAATTTATTCTTTTTTAAAATTGAGTAGAGTCAGGGTCACGCTATCATTCTCATTTTAATTATTCAAACTACTGAAAATATGATCAGAATATCTGCCACGTTAACATTTTAGCTAGCACTTTGGGGAGGATGTGCTAGGGACTGAAACCCAAGCTTTGTGCATGCTAAGCACGTGTTCTACCACTGAATGATACCTGCAACCTTTGCTAGAACTATCTTAATACAAAGCACAACACTTAACAAACACGCAAAGTCAAACCTGGGTTCTTAATGGGCAGGATTACAAAGCCCTTAATTCCACCCTGAAGTCACATGGTGCTGAGTGATGCAACAGTGTGTGATCTCTTACTGTGAACCGCAAGTCTTAACTGCCAACCTCAGCAGTGGGATAAAAACTGCTCGATTTTAGCAGTAGTGATAGCAGCTACAGCAGACAGGTAACCTATGTAGTATCCACCTGATGCTAAAAATAATGCTGCTTTCCATCTCTATTTTTTGTAGCTACTTCATGGGTTTCTGTATCCCCTCCTCCTCCCGACCTGCAGCACCCACTGCCAAAAGCCTGTGCTGTGTCCTAGGGAATGGTTTCTAGGGAAACAGAATTTTCAGTGTTAAAATCAGGACGGTCCTGGGCAAGTGAAGACAGCTGGTCACCCTAGTTATAGACACAGAAGAGCCATTCTAGACAGTGCTCAGAATAGGATGGCTCCTCCCACTGTCTGGCT